GGACAGAGGGAAATGATTCACCATAGATACACACAGACAGTCATCTTTGCACTTCACGTGGACAGAAACCTAGTTGCTCCTCTTGTTCAATAGGGAACAATACGAGTCAGAAAGGGATTTTGCATGTTCACCCCTAAGATAATTAGTCTTTTGGTTACATCAACGGTAAGCTAGTATATGACTGCAGATGTTATCATAGAATTTACAAAATTACAAAAGATTTCATCATGCAGGGGTTGTGTAAAATTTCGACATTGGTTTAATCAAGACGACAATTTGAGTCTCTCCTCTTGTCTATTTCACGGGAGTGTATGTCATACAACACCTTATTCTTTCACGGGGTATTTTTACGAACACACAAAACAGGAACAAATTACTCTTGAAGAAAGCCCAGCAGGACGATCAGTTAGCAATGTTTTAAAAGGATATGTGACAAGCTCCGCAATGTGTTATCTTTATAACGACATAACGAAAAAAATGGCGTGAGACATCAAGGACCATCAATCTTAACCTGCACTAACTTCAGTCAGTACATATCAATCAATCTCTTCATTAAAAGTACTCTTCCAGCGACCTCATGTCCCCGACTTGATTTTATCGAAGCAATATTAATATGAACGATTGGTTGTCTCAGTTGCTTTCAAGACTACAATAGAAATTGATAGTTGTTATTTCACAAGAGATACAACAACTAATAGAGGTAATTCCATGGAAATTGCGTACAAGCGATTTTTATTCACGATTTGCGGTACAGCACAAAAAATGAACGAGTGAGCGCAATGAACGAGTAAGTTTAATTAACGAGTAAGTGAATGAAAATATCAGTGTGTTATCTATGGAACATCACATGAATAATGAAAGTCAAGGTAAAAAGCGCTTCTAGAGAGACCGCCTGAAAACGCAAAATTCAAACATTAAAATATAGATGCTAAGTATTTAGGGTTGCCTACGACGTAGCTCTCGTGTTTTTCTACATTCCTCTTTGATAGATCAAGTTCAACTCCTGAGGTGGACCACTTTTGAAAGCATACATATGATGTCATTGTATGTTCTAAGCCTAGCTCTAATGGTTTCTCAGTCGCATTTTGATAGCTGAGTTTCCTTTTCTGAGGACGAAAATGAATCCACAGAAAGTTACACGTCATATTTAGCTCCAAACCAGTGCTGGGTTACAGAAGGAGGCAAAGACGAGTGGCGGTGATCCTGATTTATATCGTCGCAGCTATACTCTCCTAAATTGTTTTTCTTGTCGATGAGTCCTTATGCCTTTCCATTAATTTTAAATTCCCTCTCAATGCTATTGTAACTCCATATGTGCCAGGATGCCTCTACTTGCTGTCTTGTTAGGGTGGTGCAATAAGAACAATTGTTTCCACGGATGTTAACATATTCATACATCTGACAGCTGACCCAGTCGCCAAAAATGTCATGACCTGCTAGCTTGGCACGTGAGTAGTCCTTATACTGCAGACCATCTGTAGAAAAGTTACAGGTTGCTCTCAGACGTGACGAGTGATTTGCAAAAGACGCATCTGTGATAAGGATAGTCGGTACACGTTCCAAACCACTTTTTTTGTCATTATTAATCTCAAAATTCAAGCCAAACCTTTCATTTGTGAAGGCTTCGTGAATAACCTAATTCTTCATTCGAAGATTAGGTTATATTATCGATTTATAACATGCGATAAACAAACAAAACCCTTTCGCAAATACTCAGATGCTTCAGATATGCGCAAAAACTCTCACACAGTTGACATGCAACAAAAACACTAAAGTTTTCTGTCAATTTTTTTTTCACCCATTTTGTCGCGAGAAGTTTAAGATAGGAAGTCATGTGACGCAAAAAAGTTTTCAAGATGACAAATGTGTCATGAATGATGTCTGATGTATCACATCTAGATGTAAACACGAATTGTTGATATGATTTCTTCAGTCCAGTAACTGCCAACGGAAAATTTATAATAATTGTAGCAAAGAGTTAGTGTGCCCATGTGTCAGGGCGTGACTTGAGTCAATTCAGTTTCAAATCCCTTTTGGCTCTTAACATCGTGTCTCACGCTTTTCCTCGAGAAGAATCATAGGGATGAAAATGATGCTTGCACTTAGCATTTCCTATAACATCACTCTGCTAATTTAATAGACAAAACGATACACTAATTTCATCCTAGGATCTCTACCTTTTACAATGTACCTTGAGCGTACTTGTATTTGGTCCGGTGACCTGAAGCTTTCTTCTCTTCGTTGAAGTCCTTAGAAATTTTCCCATATATACTGGTCATTCGGCTGGCATGGATGCTTAAACGCAAACAGTTATAGTAACGTTTGTATCTAGATTAAAAACCAGATTTAACCATTTTGAGTTAGCCGTTCAAATAGGAATTATCTCAACTTACCTCCTCTTTTTTCCTCTGACTTACCAATTTTTGCTTTGCCCCTCAATATGAGATAAAGACTTCCACCTTTTTATCACTCAGAACAATTAAAATTCACAATGAGAAACAAAAGAGACTAGAAACAAAGAATGGAGGTCGCCATCAAGAAAAATCGATACTTACAGCTGGGTGCCAAAAACTTGTTGTTCCACAATTAAAAGTAAAAAAAAATTGACCACGGTATTTTCGTACGTTTCCAAGGAGGAGTTCAGTTTGATTCAGATTAATAGCTTTTTTTTTTTGCTTTTAACCCTCTACAGAACTCTCTAGCTTAAAAAACAAGAGTTTTACCATTTTTTTCAGTCGTGAGAGGATATATGCGCAATGTGTATCTTAATTATCTTTGGAGTAGTGATCACAAACAAAAAAAATAATTTCACAACAAGAAGCGATAGAGACCAGAGACAAATAAAAGAGATCGCCGATACCCTTTTAATATTTAACTTGTCTTTCATGCAAGAAAAAAAAACTTACATCTGGGTGTCAAAACACGTTGTCTCACCATTGAAAAGAATGAAGTAAACCATGGTTTCGTTCGTTTCCAGAGAGGAATTGATTTTGCTACTGTTAAATAGCCTTGAGAGAAGCAGGTGAAAAAGCAGGTGAAAAACTAACATGAACTATGAATGATGGTCGTCCGGCTCCAGCTCTATATTTTTGGCTGAGCTCTTTGTAAAGGGACCCACAAAAACAAAGGTTCAAAACGAGAAAAAGTCCAATTTGAAATTTGAAATCCTTACTTTTGTATCCGTCACCTTTGATGATATTTGAAGTAGGTTTCTATTTGAACATTACAGGAGATGAACGTTCGGAATTATGTAATTAAGCAGTATTAGTGTCCAGAGAGAAAAAATTGGAAAAAAAATTGAAGAAACGACTACAGAAACACTAAAATTTCATTTACACTACGCACAAAACTAGTGTCCCTGGTTGGCACAGTGTCGTTTCTCAAAAAACGGTTCATCTTTATCCCTTGGACCTCCATGCTGTTCAGTCTGGATAAGTTTTGCTCTTTGCATGATTCTTCAAAATTTGCAGAACAAAGCGACGTATACTGCCAAGTTGGATCGTAAAAATCGTGTCTGTGTCTGCGAGCAAATTTCACCCATTTTCCTTTAACAGTCGGGATCGTTCGGGAACTGAAACATTCTATGTGTGAACGATGTATTCTGAGAACTTTGCCGGTCAGGGGCACCAACAACACAATATCGCCCCCTCGTTGCCGCGTGTCTTTCTATTCGCCATACAAAATCGATCTTCTGTTACCAAGTGACGTCATTGGTTTTTAGTCAAATGGTACTTTGGCCGCGCATTTCGAATACCATTTTTGAAGGGAAAATGGCATAGCTTTAAGACCTTCTAAATTCGTCAATTTTGTCACTGAACGTTTCAAACTTCGTAAACGTGTATTTTAAATGGTGAACTCTATAACTAGAGAAAAACAACTTCTATTTCACGAAAACTTCGATTTTTATTTGATAATGTATCGACAGTGTGTCCAACAATGTAATGTCGCTGCAAATCCACAAGCTTAAAGTAAAAGTCTGGAGTACGACTTTGAAAAAAACGAACAAAAGTTCGTGATGTTACGATGAGCATCAACTGTTCACAAGTAATATGATAATGTAATAAGATGATGTCTCACATTATGTACAACAAGTGTTATGTACACTTGTGCTTCTCTTCACAAACACCTGCTGCAACTACTATACCTACTTTATCTCCTACATTTTGAACATTTCAGAAATGTTTCAAGAACAAATGCAATGTTGTAAAGTAAGCGGTGATCTTAACGAAGCACTTAAGTACCTTAGTCCCTGTTTAAGAAAGGCTGTTGAGGGCTTCTCACAGTTATGTATCGAGCCCCTAATATTAAAATCAAGCAAAGCTGTACATATTTATCACTAAGGAGAGATTCTTAACATCTCCCTGTCACTAAGTAAATACCATTTCTCCTCACTGTGCGGATTTTTTAAAGCGAAATCAAGAAACCTAAACTTAAAGCTTGATTTTACTAATGATCAAACTAACGAGGCCGAAGCTAATTTTCAATTATCAGTAAAGAGAAAACGGTTGATTGACCGAGTCAAGAATATGTCGCACTTCGACGAGAAAACATGTCATACTTAGATTAATAGCGTACGGTAATATCTCTGAATCTAAACACAAGCATTTCAATATATGGTTATTCACTTGCTTGAAAATAATTTGCATAAATCAACTAATGGTGAGCTCTGAATGCGTCTTCAAAGACGAATATGAAAAAAGGGCAACTTTATCGACCTTGACTTTTAAGATGTAAGTGTACTATCTATGGAACATCACATGAAAAGATGAAAGTGCACGTAAAAAGTGTTGGTAGAGAGACCGCCTGCTTACTTCAACTATTAAAATATGGACGCTCTTCAATGAAGGTTGCTTATGATGTCTCTCTTGTGCATATCTACATTCCTCTGCGATAAAGAGTCGTGTAACTATCTGAAATATTAAACGTTAAGTTCAACTCCTAATTGGACCAAACTTGAAGGCACATGATGTCATCGTTAGTTCTTAGCCTCGCTCCGATGTTTTCTTGCTTTCAGTTGGCCGAGTTTCCTTTTCTGTGAAAGAAAATTAATTCACAAAAAGTTACAATTCATATTTAGCTCCAAACCAATGCTGCGTTGTGGACGTAGGAGAAAACGAGCAGCGGTGATGCTGATTTTTAGTACGGTCTTGAAATTGTCCGAAATTTTTTTCATCAGGGACTGCACCTGGTTTTCCATCAAATTCACATCCGGCTTCTATGCTCTTGTTACTCTTTATGTGCCAAGACGTATCTTCCTGCTGTTTTGTCAGGGCAGTGCAATTAGAGCAATGGATTCCTCGGATGTTAACATATTCGTACATCTGACAGGTCATCCAGGTACCAAAAATGTCATGACCTGCCAGCTTAGCGCGTGCGTAGTCCGTATACTGCAAACCATCCATAGAAAAGTTACAGGTTACTCTCAGATGTGTGGAGTAAATAGCAAGAGACTGCATCTGTAATAAGGATAGTCGGAACTCGTTCCAATTCACTTCCCCCTCTTCAATATAAATCTCAAAGTTCTTGCCAAACCCTGCATTCATGAAGGTTTTTCTCTTAGCCAAGGAAAACGATTGTATTAACGTCCATACAAAGCCAGGTTCAGACTGCAAGTCACAGTAAACAGAAAACCGTTCACTGTTTGAATCGTAGATGTCGTATTTTCCTGATGTCGAGGCACCGTTCTTAGCTATGTCTTTGCAGCTTCTCGGATGTTTCATCTTCTCACACCGCTGACCAAAGTATGTGTTAGGACAGGTACAGTTAAACCTGGTGCTGTGAGTGTCACAAATCTCCTGACATACCCCTCCATTGAGGCAAGGATTGGTGCGGCAGCATCTGTTAATGCAATGATGCTTCTCTGGCGTGTATTTGTCTCCACCCTACAGAAACATTCAAAGGTTTTTTATAACATAGCTGGTAAATTTGTCTAATCAAATTCAATTGCACGAGCGTGCTTTATATTCCTATTGTGCACGCTCGTGACGTCAGCGAACAAATCCCTCCAGAAAAAGATTTTCAAACTTCCCGCGTGCTTCATATCTCGATGAACGCACGCTGACGTATGAACCAATTGTTAATTTTAGCTCAGCATGCTCATCGAATTGGGTTGGCATGTACGTTTGAGTAACCATCGACAAATCTTATTGGAAACGGATCGAATTGATAACAAACAGTGCGAGCAAAGTACGTGTGCACGCAACACATAGCGGGGTGCCAGAATGGAGATGAAATGTCCATCAAAATTTCATTTGAAATGTAGTAATACAGCAATGGTTAAGTCAATGACGTCTTTATGCAATTTGTTGTCACTTTGGTCCTGCCGTCCCCTTCGCATTGCAGCATGGCCGCTTAGAAAAAGTTTGCGAGAAAGATAATGAACCCAATCCTCTCTCAGCCAAATCAGTTTGTTTTGATTTTGTCTAAATCAATCATATCGCAAACAAAATGGTATGCACAAAATTTTCTTTGCCCGAACTGACATATAACACATTTTAAAAAGACCTGTTTTTTAAGGAGTACCGGAAAACTTGATCATGTGGGAATATTTATTTTATTTACGAAAGTTCATAAATAAATGAAAAAGGAATTTCATAAACAATGTCATCTCACCTTCACCGTGTAGCTTCTCACTAAATCATAATAATTTCCTTCTTGCCTCCGTTTCATCGCCGCTGGTTCCATGTCTTTGTTGGCAACGTTAAGTTCGCAGTTATTTTCCATGGAGTAAGGGAAATAGTTCATGGATACGCACAAACAGTCATCTTTGCACTTCACGTGACACTGGATGGCGCTGTGGACTGTGAATCTTTGAAACACGTGACCCTCAAGAATGTGATTATAGACGACATCTTCATCGATAACAAACTTGAAGTTTTGACAATTCACCGCTTTCTTTGCCGCAGTGGAGAGAGTCAAATTAAATACAAACAGCATGACTTGAAGATATTCTACGATGCCCATAGCGATGGCACTATATCAATGTGAAGAAATAAAAGATACATGATTGTTTCATTTGACAAGCATGAGGTAATCTGGAACGAAACGAATAGATATTTGGGTCTCTTGCTTGAAAGCGACCTCCCTTGATAAAACTTCATAATATCAAACATTACTGCTTATTTGTTGAAAATGCATGAACGCTTTTTGTTAAATTAACTAGGAAATTGTTTCCCTCAAAGCATTAACCATAACATTTTTTTTTTGATTGCAACGGAAAGAAAATAGTCGTTGGCAGTAAAATTGCCAAAATTTTAGTGGTTAGCCGAAAGTGCCATTACCATATTGACACCTTCCTCTGAGTCAGTAAAAGTTTTTGAAGACAGAAGAGAGTGCACTCGTCTCGCTGCGAAGTTGATCTTCACTACAGAATCACCTATTTGCGGAATTTCGAAAAGAAGATTAGGCAAACATTTAAGCCCAAACGAAATTGCTTCTCGATGGTTTCTCTAAGGAATGCTCTACAAAAGGAGCCGTAAACGTTCCCTGCAGTTAACCTGAGCTTATTTTTCCATTTCGAGGCTAGAATGATCGGAACGAAACAAAATTAAATTTTGTTTGAGGACTTCACTGGATAGCTGGTAGTAATCCGAATGACCCGAACGTCGTCCAGGCATTCCAGGAGAGAAATCAGAGCTGAAGTACACGCAGCTACTACAATCTTTGCTTTCCATGAATCAAATAAACATTTTAAAAAATAAAATCCTCAGTCAAATGTAAAATTCTGCAGTCCATTTTAATAACTTTCGATTCTAATTCGTTACATTAACTAATTTTGTTCTTACTTTTTATAACCAACGAAACAAGTATTTGACAAGGGAAAAATTAGCAAACACGTCACGCAATACATCAAGTTGATTTTGATTGCCGCAGGGAAATGTTGAGTTTGTCGCCCAAAACCGTCGTGGTCCATGACAGCGTTACATCGTTAATGATGGAAACAAATTTGCAGAAAGGAGGGCTATTTCATTTCGTTCCGTGTGCTAAATCTCGGGAGAAACAGCAAGAATTCTTTCAAAGTGTATGCGTGTCGTTTTATAAATAACACTGTAACGTATTTTAACTTGTTTGTGTGTCCTTTTATGCTACGCAATATGTCTGCGATGACCAGAGTGTCAAATGTTTTTCTTTAATTTTGATCTTCTTCACACTGTGCGTAGTTGATGACCAGATGTTTCAACGAAAATTATTGAGAAGGCGCTTTATGATCACATTTGTTTACTTTGAAAGTCACGCAAGTGCGCCAGCGTTACGATCGATCGCGTTTACGCAAACTTAGTATCCATTCTCCATTCAGTTGTTATGAAAACCTAAAATCCTCCGCGTAAAAGATAAACAAACGAGATCTCAGTCAATTTTCGGAATCATGCGAATGATTTTTGACACGAGCGCAATTGAGAAAATTCAACACATAAATTTTAAGATGGATGAAAATTAGAGATAAGCCCGCGGGTTTGAGGCAATCGGTGACCTCATTGGTGTATAAGCTATGCACTTATATGCTTTTTCAGCCCGATTGACGCCTGCATTTTGAGAATTCTTTCGTACAAATTGGTGAATTTTTTAAATAAATTAAGGTCGAAGAGAAGGGTCTCCTCTGAACACTCTGGTATGAAAAATATTTCAGGCGAAGTTTCCATATTTTGTCCGTGAACTAACTGAATACATCTTGTAACTTGTAGCAAGATAGAATTCCGTGAGCCACATTATTGGATAAAAATATATCGATTTTTAAGATACGAAGTCATGTGATGTAAGAAAGTTTTCAACCCAGCAAAAGTGTCATGAACGATGTCTGATATATTACATTTAGACCTAGATTTAAAAACGAATTGGTTAGATAATGTTTCTCTCCGAAACAATTTATTGTTGATAGTATTTCTTCAGTCTATTAAGTGCCAACGGAAAATTCATAATAATTATAGCTAAGAGTTAGTGTGCCCTCCGTGTTTAGGGAGTGACTTGAATCAAATCAGCTTCGATACCTTTTCTACACTTTACATAGCGTCTCACGGTTTTCCTCGAGAAGAATCATAAGGAAGAAAATGATTCTTTCGCTTAGCATTTTCTGTAAAATCACCTTATTAATTTAATAGATAAATCCTTTTTATAATGTACCTTGAGTGTACTTGTATTTGGTTTGGTGACCTGAAGCTTTCTACTCCGCCGTTGTTAAAGTCCTACGAAAATTTTCCTACATAAACTGGTCATCCGGCTGGCATTGAATGCTTAAACGCAAACACGTTTGCATCTAGATCAAAAAAGGATTTTACCTTGTTAAGCTGGCTGTCCAAATGGGAATTATCTCAACTTACCTCCTCTTTCCTCCTCTGATTTTCCAATTTTTGCCTTGCCCCTCGATACGAGGTGAAGACTTCCACCTTTTCACCATTCGAAACAATTAAACCTCCTAGTAAGGAACGGAAAAAAACAGAGATAAAGAATGTAGGTCGTAAGTAGTGTAAGTGATCGTCTTGTAAATAAAATTGTTAAAAAAAAAAAAAAGGTGGAGGTCACCATCACGAACAAAAAAAACTTACACCTGGGTGTCAAAACTTATTTTCCTACGATGAAAAAGGAAAACTAATTCCGCACAATATTTTCGTTCGTTTCCTAAGAGGAGTTGAGTGCCATTCAGTTGAATAGCCGTTTTTTTTTCTTTTTTTTTCTTTTAACCCTCCACAAAAGTGTCTTAATAGCTAAAACACAAGACGAGTTTCTCCTTCTCTCTTAAAGTCGTGGGAGGATATACGTTGCAATGCGTCTTTAATTATTTTTGAAGTATAGTGATCACAAACAAACAAGTAACT